TTGCTAATTATGTGGAGACAATATCAAAGTCAAATAACATAATACTGACAGTATTACGTTATTTGACAAAAGATCCTCAAAAATAGTAAAAGAATACCTCCAATCTCTCCAATTAAGGAAGAAAATTCTACTACAGTGAAAATATTTTGGCATAGGCAATGCAGAACTGGCAAATTATTGTCACAGAGTATTTCTATTTCTGCTAGTCACAAAATACTTGTGTAAAATAGTTTTTAAATTTTTTTTATTTCCAAGTTCATCAGGGGACTTACATGTCTATTTAGAATAAATATGTGATCACCTTATATGTAATGCCATCCATTTATACAGGGATTGTTCTGTGCTGGAGCATGTCTTTCTTCCATCCATTTTACTCGTCCTTTCTAATAGAATAATTTCTAATGGTTATAGTAGAAATGTGAATTGACCAGAGAATTTTGTCGTTAAGACTTGTCCTTATTTTTTTATGTAGAGAAGGGCTTTTCAGTTGATAAATTAACAGAATAATAAGATTTTGGAATCAGTAATAAAATGTATTAATCACAGATTAAATAATTTTATCTATTTAACTGTTTGTTACCTGTGAGTAATGTCTGTGAGACAGGCTACATGGGCAGCATTTCCTCTGTGAGTCCCAGGAAGGTTTCCCTACCCCCAGTTCCTGTATGCTCTCAAATATTTATTTATGAAGCATGAAAAAGGTGCCTTCCTCTCATTTCCTCTAGTCCTCTGCAAGGACCAGCAGTGACAAACTCACCTTTCCTGTGCAGCTGAAGAACAAGACTGTAGGGCTCACCACTAAACACACTTTTCTTCCATCAGGGTATAACTTTTACCTGTTCAAAACCTAATGTAGCTAATGTAATAAATACTGACTGTATTTCATAGCATATGAAGGCAATCTCTTGACCACAAAGATGAAAGTAGTCCAATCTGTGAGAATTAGTTTAGACATTTTTAATAATGTCATAAAGTTTATTGATAAATTAAACTTTAAAAGAAATTTCCACAAGAGACACAGGATAATTTTCCAAATATCTGAAAAATACTTTGTATTGGTTCGTAGTTAATATTATATGGCAAATGAAGCTCAGAACAATAAAGAAAAGTCTTCAAGTGAAGAGCCAGATATTTTTGTTGTTTCAGGACATTGCTAACCAACCTTGCCAATGTGTTGTTAAAAAACACCAGCATGAATATTTAGATCTTTCAGAAATGCATTAAATCATCTGTAGATAAACACACTGTGTTGTGTTTTCTGTTATAGACCTTTGCCTTTGGCACTAGAGCTGCTTCCCTATGCATACAGCTCTCTAAATGCAGACACAGTATTTCATATGCTTGCTCCCTACCATACCATTAGTTGTTTCTTATGCATTTTATGTCAAGCAAGTAATTTAAAGCATGTTACCAATGCTGCATCCTCTGGCATAGTCTATGCAAGTTTTCTTCTGTATTTAGAGGATCCAACCAGTGCTAGAATTCTCTTGTCATGGTCATATTTTGAAGAAAAGTTACTGTTGATTTCTTATGAAATTATTACTTTAAAAATGATGTCTTCAGTGTCTGGGATTTTAAAATTTTCTGCACTTACTAAAAACTTCCTGTGCCGCAGAACACCATCCTTGACAAATTGTACCTTAGCCACACAGTCCCAACACCATAAAACCTAATATGGGTATTAGAAGACAAGAGGCATTTTTTTAAGCCTGTTCAGAAATGCTTTCTCTATTAACACTGACACTTTTGCATATTAATCTGTTTAAAGATTAGAACTAAGCAATGCAGTATCCACCCCATTGTGGATCATGCTCCAGTTAGTGCATTCAGCAAGGATCTCCCCATGACATGAGGTACCTCTGCACTAGTTCTGGTCTGCCCCGTCCCAGGGTAGCCCAGTATTTGGACATTGGAAAAACTCCTGCTTTTTACTTAATTTTCTCTACATTACAAACAGGAAAATTAATTCCCTTTTAGCCATGCTTGGCAAGGAGTAGGTCCCCTACATCTTTCACCAGGTTTTGCTAGACCGTGGCAGCTGTTCCTTCACATAGCTCCCCAACACTCTAAGGGTGGCCAAGGATGTTTAGAAAGGAGACACAGGCAAGACTTAGGCACTGATTACTTTAGGTGAGAGGATTTGTAATTTCTTTCATAATATCTTCCCATTCTTTAGTAATGGGAAGATATTATGAAGAGGAGGAAGCAAACATGGACCTGCTACTCTCTGGGGCAAAAAGAGAAAAGTATTTTATTGAGGAATGACTCACACTTTTTCACTAGTCCAGCAAAGCACCTATCTGTATCTACTCAAGCTAATTAAGTTGAAAAAATATTTTAGAGAAAATAAACTTGGCAAAAGCATAACTTTGAAACCATCTGCTCTGACCACATACGGTATAATTCCAGGCATTCATACCCTGAAACAACCTGAAACTTCGAGAATGCATTTTTCTAAAGGAGAAGTACATTCTGTTGCTCTTCTTTAAGGCTATTTTCAAGATCCTTACAGTAGGAGTAAGTTTTCTTATCTTTCACAACAGTCAGAGGCAGCTTCACTGCTGGTGTCTGGTACGCAAATTTGTCTCTACTAAAGACTCTGACATTTCATTAATGTACACCAGGTTTGAATTTGGCTGAGGTAATCAATTCTGACAAGATACAGACATATATAGAAAGGTGCATGCTGACTCTCATTTCATTCCAATCTAAAGAGCATTTTTTACCAGTAGTAATCCCAATGATTTTAGAAACAGTTTGAGAAGTTACCTGTTTTTCATCCCCAAAGGAACTTGGTTCCTGTGGTTATAAGTATTATTAAGATAATGTAAGACCCCAAAATAGGTGCATTTGATTTGAGTTGAAATCTGAAATTATTTAGTGAAAAAATACAATTTTGTAATAAGAGAAAAAAGTTTTTGTATAGCTTTACTAAGTATTCAGCTAGAGGTTTAATCCACTGTACGTATGTAATAGACTCATTCGTGTGTGAGTGTATTGGGTTTGCATGGCAAGATTTTGATAGCTGGGCTGCTTAAGTGAGATGCTGCCAGAAGATTCCCCCATTTCTCTCATGTTGGATGTCAGATACTCCAAGATGAACATGCTTCTGGCCAAAGGTGAATCCATCACTGGTGATGGTAGTGCCTCTGGGATAGCAGGTTTAGTAAGAGGAAAGAAGTTAGTGCACAGCAAAAATTTCAGACAGAGTACAAGACAGTCAGAATATGTGAGCAACAGTTCTGCACCCAGGTCAGTGGTGAAGGAGGGGGAGGAGGTGTTCCATGCTCCAGAGCAGGGACTCCTCTGCAGCTGGTGAGGATGACCATGGTATGGCAGGCTGTCATTTACTGCCCATGGAGGTCCATGTTGGAGCAGAGATCCACCTGCACCCCTGGGTAACTCCACACTGCAACATGGGGATGGATGCATGAAGGAGACTGTGACCCACTGCACTGGACCAAGCTCCTGGCAAAACCTGTGGTCCTGTGGAGAAAGGATTCCAAGTTGGATCAGGTTTGCTGGCAGGACTTACGACTCCATGGAGGATCCATGCTGGAGCAGTCTGCTCCTGAGGAACAGCACCCCATGGAGAGGACCCAAGCTGCAGCAGCTCATGAAGAAATGCAGCCCTTGGGAAGGAGTCATGTTATAGAAACTTGTCTCCCATGGGAGGAACCCCACAGTGCCCCCTGAGGAGAAAGAGTGACAGAGATAACATGAGGAGCTGACCAAAACCCCCCTTCCCATCTCCCTGTGCCATGTGGGGGTAGAGACAGAGAATTCAGGAGTGAAGTTGAGCCTGGGAAAAAGGAAGGAGTGAGAGAAATCTGAGTTTAAGATTTGATTTTATTCCAGATTATTGTACTCTGGTTTGGTGTGTAATAATTAATTGCTCCTAGTTGAGTCTATTTTGCCCATGATAGTAATTGGTGAGTGATCCTTCCCTGTCCTTATCTTGACCCATGAGCCTTTCCTTTTATCTTCTCTCTTTCTGCTCCCCAGCTGAGGAGTGGAATAATAGAGCAGCTGTGTTGGGCAACCAGCCGGCATCAAACCACCAGAGTAACAGAAGGAAAATGCTTATTTTTTTAAATGAAACTCTGGCCCTCTTTCATACATATGTTGCTTCTATTTTATGCCTTTTATGTCAACTCTTGTGTGCTGCTACTCTGTCACTTTTATAAAAGTAAACATTGGGGTAATAGGAACTAGTGATCAAAGAAAAGTATGACATAAAACCTTGATATATACTTCTTAGAAAAGCTATCTGAAAAATATTTGATGTTTACTTTGTTTTGGAGTGTTTTGGTGAAATTGAGTTTTAAGGGTCATATTCCAAAAAATAAAATCTCATCATGGTAACAGATAGACCATAAAGTATCACGCAGGATAGGTGTGTATCCTGACAAGGGTTGGTGAACCACTGGAGAATGCTGGTGCTAAGTTCACATTGTGTAAACATTTTGCAATTTTGCAAAAGCATCTGTAAGAGTTTTGTCAGTGTTAAAGCATGTAAACCTGATTTTTAGAGAATTAGCAGGGAACATACTGAGGACAGTTTGTTCACGGCTGTGGAATTCAGTTTCATTGTTTGCAGACCTCAGTTGTGCTCCTTGGTTTCTACTTCATGTGCTGTGAATTCTCCACAAATGTTGCTGATTAAATAGGACGTATCTGTGAACTTGCTTTTCAGTTTCAAGTCAGGTTTTGAAGTCCATGTGTTTAGCTGTCTGTTGTCTCCTTGTGTACCCAACCAATGCAGAGGTGAAGCTTTATTGTGAAAAGTAAATGTTTGTTTTTGTGCACTATAATTTTGGCATTGAAGGAAAGGCAGGCTGACCCAGCCTTGTCTTACTGATACAATCAGTACAAATGGGCTTGCATAGGCTGTGGACTTATTTTAATGTTTTTAATTTTTATCTATTAAAGATACATAGAATTAAAAAACTTTACAGAGGTAGTGAGAAACTAACTCTTTTCTTTTCTTCTCTCTGTAGTTTGTTGCTCAGCCCAACTGCCAGCAGCTGCTCGCATCCCGCTGGTACGACGAGTTCCCCGGATGGCGGAGGCGACACTGGGCAGTGAAGATGTTGACATGTGTTGTGATAGGACTCCTTTTTCCAGTCTTCTCTGTGTGCTACCTGATAGCTCCCAAAAGCCCATTGGGGCTGTTCATCAGAAAGCCATTTATCAAATTTATCTGCCATACTGCATCGTACTTGACTTTTCTGTTCCTGCTGTTGCTTGCCTCTCAGCACATCGACAGGTCAGACCTCAGCATGCAGGGACCCCCTCCAACCATCGTCGAGTGGATGATATTACCGTGGGTCCTGGGTAAATGTATTACTAAAGAAAATACAGTGAAAAGTATTTTGACCACTGTAGTTTTGCCAGGCGTTCCCGAGGCAGGATACAACAGAGTTCTGTCATGAATTATTGACCTACCAAAGCAAGCAGGTGTTCCAGCTCCTCCAGTGCTTAGCAAGAGTAGTTGACAATGTAGACAAACAGTAGAGTTTGAAAATCCAAAGTGTCACCATCTGATAGATTACAGTGAGGAAAAATAAAAGATATCAAGGATTCCTTCCTATGATTAAACAGTGCCCTGAAACATATATTGATTATCTTTTTCATATCTATTTCATCCAGACCAGAAATTGTTCTGGTTCTTGTAAGTGCCTATTTTTTTAAATTTTGTAACCTACTTTTAAGAAAATTCCTTTAATTCCTTTACTACGAGAATTATTTTTCATGTAGGGAAATGAGGCATAGTGTAATTTCTGTATTGTTATTACTAACCTTAGTTACCTACAGTACACTTCTTTCTAAATGACAGATGCACCTATTGCAAACAGTGATGAACAGCATTTTCAAGTATTTTCATTAAAATATTTTTTATTGCAAAAATATTTTATTACAAAAATTTTTTTTTGGTGCAAGAACTTGTCACTCAATTCAAACCAAATATCCTATATCAGAAAGAATAGGAAAATTCCATAGCATTTTCAAAATAGAAAGAAAAAAACAAACCTTACCTCTCTATCCTCATAGTTTAAAATAAAATTTTTGGGCTGGGATTATTGAAAGCCTGCTTTCAGTGGGCCATGCCATCCTTAAACGTGATCCTTCCTGTGATCCTAGTATTATCCTAGGTGCTCCCTAACTTTGCGTGTCTACCCTGCTAGATGGTAATTCCTCTCAGTGTGCTGTGGTCTCTCCTCTTTTTCTTATTTTAAGTATCAACACAAGTTGGACCAGGTCAGGGCAAATATATTTAAGGCAAAAATATTTTTTTAGACAAATATATTTGTCTAAAATAAAATTACAGAAGGAGGGACTCAGTAGTCTTGGCTGCAATAATTTAGGTTTGATATATTCATTAAAATTGTCATCACATAGACAGATACTTGCACAAAAATTCCTGAAACTTTGGTGGAATTTTGATACCATTACTTCTCCCAGAGCTTCTCATTAAGATAACTTCTTCTTCCAAATGTATCTTCCATTTTTCCCAAACATGTGGGTTTCTTTAGATCAATGTAACTGTCAAGGCTTTTGGCCCCATTGATCCTATATAATTTACTGCAGAGTGTTGAATTTGTGAGCACAGTAGTGCTCACCACCAGTCTTCACTGTGAGGTGTGTTTTCCTTGGCTGGGTAAATATTTCTAATACATTAAAAAAAGCCAAAATCTAAGATTATTGCAAAGAAATCATTAAATCTGGGAGGTTGTCTTGACTGTTACTTCTTATAGACAAGTCAGACTAATTTCTGTAAGCAAGATTCACATTTAAATATTTAAAGAAAAATTTCCTCCAGTTAATTTTCCCACTCTTTTACCATCAAGAAATTAGAAACTCATATAAAAACTATTATCTTTATACATTACCTCCTTAGAAATAAATGCTGCAATGCTGAGGAGGAGCAGGAGGCTCTTCTGTGCTGTGCCATGCCCAGAGGAGACATTAGTATCTTTTCTGTCTGGCCTTCCAAAATAGCAGGTAGTCAGTATCTATTCAGCTTTCACAGTATCCTGAGGCTAAAGGATAATAAGAACAAATGCACAGCTGACACATAGACCTTGATATGCCAAAGTGGATTTTGTCATTAACCTGTCTTTTAACAGAGCTGAAAGAAAGAGGCACAATTTGAGAAGGGCAAGAGCTAGTTTCTGTAGTAAAGGCAATTGAAAATTTTTAGTGACTAGCTCCTCTCCAGAAAACACTCAGTGGGAAGAGGAAGAACCTCTAATGCCCTCAACCTTTGACATAGTTGTTTACTTAGGAAGATGTTTATGTGACTCAGCATTCCCAAAGCACTTGTTTGAAGAAGCCATTAACCCTGAGAATTATGGTGTTTGAGATGACTATCACTTCTAAAAGCAACATTATTATTTTCAGTATAGACTCATATGGCTGGATTATGCCTGTGCTGAACAAACCCTTCATCTGCAAGCAGTACAGGTCAAGTCAAGGGAACCACATCCATAAACAAAAGTTCATGAGCATGGATGAAGATCAGTATTTTGATACCATTGCTTAAATAGCTTGTAGTCAATCTAGACTGTGCTGTTCAGAAAAACCATGCCTTCCAAAATCTCTTGCATCCAAAATGATGCATTTTGCACACTGATCTCTAGTGTTTTCTAAATAGCAGTTTCCTGTTCCAGTTTCACATTATCTGTGTTCAGCTTTCAGGTTTTGGTCCCTGTAGTGCCTTAGCCCAGCCAAATAATGAGGCCTCAGATTCACCCATCATAATTTAAGGCAATTTGGTACCTGGTTTCCCAATACCAATGAAGGAGACCCACATCTCCACAGGACATTCCATCTCACAGCATGTGATGAACATGTCCATTTCAGCTTTTTTGTTCATATATTTAGGTCTTTTTCATGTTGGCTTTTTTTCTGTTTGGTTGCTTTTTGTTGAGGTAGTTGGTTTTGTTCATTTTGTTTTGATGGATTTTTGTTTGGTTGCATTTTTTCAGTGCTTTTTGGTGGTGGTAGCTGTTTTTCTAAAGGAATGAATCTCAGCCAAACCCTGCTCTCTTCCTATTCACATACATACAAACTGTAGTCTAGTCATCTTTTAATAAACTTAATATTTTTCTTAAGTCCATATCAATAAGCTAAGGTTTGTTTCCAGGCTGCAATTTAGTTTCTTGTCTCATCTCTTTAAACCATAAAATTATGCAGTATCCTTAAAAAGAGCAAATTAAGCACTCTTCAAGGGAGACTATATCTGAGGTACATAGAGATACTTTTGCATTTTCTGGATGTAAACAAAAAATTTTTTCATTTGAGTCAAAACTAGTGTGGCTCTAGGGTTATAGTTCTTTTCTGAAACCTGCAACATGACCAAGTACTTCCTTGGGAAAAGGATATCCTGGAGCAGCTACATGTCAAATTCAAATAGAATTTTTTTGGTTTTTCTTAATTCAAATAGCTCTGGTTGTAGTTTGCATTTTAATGCTATCTCTCTTAAAATTTAGAGAGGAAGAGCTCGCTTTTGCAGGTTTCTCATCAGCATGAACTTCAGGACACAAATATTTCATGCAACTTAAGAAGTTTCAAGACTGTCCATAGTGACCTAAGCTCTCCAGTGAGCAAATAGTAGTTAGCATTTTCCAACTACTATGTAATAGAAGGCTGAATGTGCATAATTAGCACATAATTAAAAGTGTCACTAGAGTAGGAGGCTCTGAGGAAAAACTTTTATTAGGCTACATTTCCATGGAGACTATCGACTTTACATTTCAAAAGTCTCTTGAGGAAAGTTTTACATTAATTTTGTCTCTTACATGATTAGATGATTACACAAGTGATGCTCCAATATGTGGCGATTATCCGTGGAACAGTAAGTCAGTGTTACAAGCTGTCATAACCTTAAGAAGTAGTTGTTGCAAATTTTCTCAAAAAGAAGAATCAGAATCTCCTGTCCTTGCATTTAAAAAAGTAAGAAACAAGCTTTGGCTTATAAGGAAAAGTAATTGTCATCTTATTATTAGTTGTTGCTTTACACTACAAAAACATAGGCCTATTTACTACACTTGAGAATCCATTACCATTGGAAAAATGAAGAGGAAAATCAATAGTATCATCTTGGGAAAAAAACAAGGAATAACAGCTTTTTCTATCATCATATCATCTAGCATAATATCCCCCATTCCCCATCACTGTGTCTTCTGAGCATGATAGCAGTGATTCAGAGGGGAAATCCAACAAGACCCTACTTCACCCTCTGGGTGCCTTGACTGCAGCTCATGTAAGGATGATGTTGATCCCTGTACGTTTGTCACAGCTGTTCTTCTGCCCTAAACCATGGCCTCAAACCCAGCAGTGACTGTACTCAGTGTCCTCACAGTGGGCATTTGCTTCACCAGCAAATGCTACAAATTTCAGAGGAGAAAGGCATCAACCAGAAAATTTTAGTGTTTAGTAATTGTGGTTAAAAAGATCCCTGCCAGTTTTTCAGGGTGACTGTAGCAAAGGACATTTTTTTAGGGATTTTTTTTGGATGAGTTTTTTGTTCTTTTATAGTCATATTATATGTTCATTTTAATTGCATTGTTCAAAAGCCTGCCTGGAGCAGGAATAAAGGCTTATAACTGTATCTCTTGAACAACATGTTCCCCATCCTTTCTGTCAGAATGGTTTGTACTGGAGTACATGAATCTATAGAGAATGTGGATGTTTGGGAACTGTGCAAAATTGCAAACATTTGTGGTTAGCAAACTGCTGGTGGGATGTATGGGAATGTATGGTCTTGTCAGTCCTTAGCACGATGTACATCCAAACTGATGGCACAGCAGGACACTTCAGAATTAACTGATCATAGAGGGGGTTAGTACAGTGTGCATCATCTTCTAAATTAGGTCAAGAAAGTGTTGTGTAAAAAATTAAACATGTAGTATGAACTGACATGTTTCTGGGAGCAGATATGGAGGTAATATGGCTGGCAAGATGAAACAGTATATAACCAATAGTGACATATATAGCACAGAGGAGAAAAACAAACCCAGACAAAGTAGGAACACAACTTTTTTTTTAAGGAAGGATAATGCACATAGTAACCACAAAAGGCCATTAAGTCCAAACTACTGCCAAACACAGGCAAACTGCAAAGACAGGTCACATTGTTCAGATTCCTGTACAGTCAGATCTTTAATTTCCCCAGGGATGAATATTTCACAGTCTCTCTCTCACAGTGCCTGTGTCTAGCAACTGGTGAACTTTTTTCCTGATACTAGTAGCTGTATCTCATGCCACAACATGCAATCATCCTTCGTCCTTCCAATGTGCACCTCTAGAACAAGTCTGGCTCCAACTCTTCA